AAAGGCATAGTCTCAATAACCTCAAACTTCTTGGCTTAAGTGATTCTCTTGCCTCAGCCTCCCAAATAGCTGGGACTACAGGCACCTGCCACAACATCCAGTTATTTTGTTGTTGTAGTTGTCATTGTTGTTTATCTGGCCTGCGCTGGGTTCAAACCTGCCAGCCCTTGGTGTGTGTGGCTGGCGTTGTAACCTCTGTGTACGGGTGCCAAGCCATATTCACTGCGTTCTTAACCCCTGTTCACTGTGTATATTGCCTTAAACATGTGAAAAGACAACACTGGCAGTATATTTTATTGAGGGGCGATGGCAGGGGGAAGGATAGTTATTCTCACATTTTAAAATTCCATATTTAGACATTATTATTCCAGATTCAGGAAACTCTACAATAATATTTTTATGCCAAGTTATTGTTATTGATAACAATAGTAATAATAGTACTAGCTATCTTTTATAAGATGCCAGCTGTGTGTAGTAAGTCACTGTCTTGTGTGTTTTTTGACCTCCCAAATTCCTTTTCAGTCACATAGTAAGTGACAGAACAGGGAGTCAGAATTTCTATTTCTGAAGTTATGCCTTCAGTATTTATTAGAAACCTTGATATGCTTGAAGTAGTTGATACATTTTGCCCTCAGTTAGACTCTAAAATAACTTATGAATTCTACTGAGGTGAATTATAATCAATAGCAGCACATTTATTATTATACTGACCTTTAAATAATCATTTCTCCCAACTCTCACAGTATTTTGTTTCTTGGTTACAGAGTACTGGCTTGTTTTGTGAAAACCATGAAAATGTTAGCAGAGCTCAGTACTTTGCCCAGCAGATGGCATTTGTGTGAGTTTTTCAGGATTCTTTGGAATCCGTCACTTGCCAATTACCCAATTTTGTTTTGAATACTCTGTATTTCCAGTTAATATTGCACCATTTACATAAAGAGAATGTGCCAGAATTGCTGTAATCTGCTTCTATAATCAAACCTGCTTGCTGCAGATGCATAATTTACTTTGTTAAATTGTTTACTACAGAATGTTCTCAAGAAAACCCTTTTTTTATTCACCATAATCACTAAGATATTAATCAACCCTCAAACATAGGGTATATATGGACTCTTGTAGGGTCTATATACTTTGTTAAAACTAATAGTCCCTAGTTTAAAAGTGTGGTAACATGATTGTGAGAACCACATCTAATGATTTTCACACGTGCTGTTTCTCTGTTATAGATATAGTATATATACAGTGAAAGTCAGATGGACTGGCTTTGGACTTTTTTTTTTGTTGTTGTTAAAAAACCAAGATAATGGCTCAGCTCCTGTAGCACAGTGGTTTTAGCCTCA